GGACCATGATGGATTTTCGCTTGGATTAGGATAAAGGAAACGATCATCTGCAAAGTGATACTGGTATCATTAGGTTGGTAATATCCCCTTATTTGGAATTGCATAATAACATGTCACCATTTGAAACGTAACAAGATGTCTAGATTATGTGAAGATAAGATGACAACGTGAATCTATGATTAAGTTTCTTATCAAGCATTTTGAATCCGACTCAACACATGAATCTCCTCCCAAAGTATTCGTTTTTTAAATAAAATAAAAATTTTTTATATCAAAATTGAAAATGTCGCAACGTATACATGTCACAGTTTTTTTTTTATTAGAAGAAAAAAAAAAGTAATCGATCTTCGATTATTTCGGTCGATTTACATGTATGAGTAGGTAATTTTTTTTTTTTTTTTCATAAATTATCTTCTCAATTTGTACGAATCATCGGCACTAGAATTCAAAGAATTGTTAAATTTTACCAACTAACATTCATAAGTACATAAGGCAAACATCAAAATGCATTCAGAAAGAAAATTTTATCTGATTTACTTCAATTTCGCTTAAATATATTTCCATTCATAAATTAAAGAATCTAACTCACGCATATGATGCGATCTTTGTTTGTACATCACATAACGCAAATAAGCGCTTCAAGTGTCACATCATACATAATTTTTCCAACTCTAATAAGATACAGTATTTAAAGCAAAACAAACTGATCTGATGAACAATATATTGATATACCTTAATTGGTAATAAGTATCCATAAAAGGAAGCCGATATCTTAAAAAACCTTTGATAATTTATAATAAATGTAATAAACAAATTTGTATTATTAACCAAAAATATATAAATTAATAATCGATCTTCATACGTCATAGCTTACATTATTTGCTCTTGAAAAGGAAAGTAAATAGGTACTGGATCTTTTATTTGGCAAATCTAAGAATTTCCTTAATGAGGGGGGAGGTTGCATACTTTCTAAATGCGGCGAACAGAAGTTAAATAGAACAACATGATCGAAATGTCAAGAAATCACGAAACGTGCATTGACGATTGATTCATAATAGAAAATCCTTGATATATTACAAGATATTACAATCAAAGATTAACTTTTTATCATCCGCTGTCCCACATTCGTCAGTGGCGCAGTAACACACGCGCAATCGAATTTAAAATCACAAGTCGGGGCCAAGAAGGTCAAACAATCAAAATCTAATTTTCATATAAACCCGGGATTTCATTATTTATTTGTGTTGAGAGCCATCTTTCAATCTTTCAAAGATCAAAAGGAATTAATTGTTTGTAACGAAAAAGTCGATCCTTTTGTTGCAGATCTCCCAAATCGAATGTCATGTTTGTCATACTCAACTCGTTGTGTCACATGTGACGTCATCACGATTAAATGCCGGGCCTTTTTTTTTTTTTTTTTTTAGCATGGAACCGTTTCACGAATTGAAAAAATTTTTTGCGCAGTTTCAAGGTCAAACGAAATAAATTGGGAGGTACGAGAAAATGGAAATTCATGAGATCACTCAAATTAATTTTTATTTAATAAAATAATTGTGTGATGAAAAATTGATGCACTAGCCGCATGCAATTAATCAAATTAATAAATGGGTTCCATTTTTAGAATGCGACGAACAGATTCTTTATTAAAACATTTAAAACAATAAGGAATTATTACAATGAGTTATGATATGATCTGGTGATCGATATGACGCGTATCCGATATAAAAACGTGTTGGTAACCAATTTAGCAATTACGGAAAAACAAAAGAGAAATTAAGTCAACTCATATTAATCATCTTAAATGTTTGTAATACCATTGCCAGTATAAGAGAAGGTCAATGTTTAACTTACATATTAGATTACAGATTAGCAAGACGGATTGTTTTGCTATGGCATTTAATTCGTACAAACCGTTTTCTTTGTCATAAAGGAAGGAACTCTGTACTAATCCTATTTCGCCATGTTTTATTATTTGCACTTTTGATAATCTAAACTATGAAAAATAAATAATAATAAAATTATAAAATAAATAAAATAAATTTATTGCATATTTTCGCACGTAATGTGTCAATACATTAGACAAGCACCAATCCATTAAAGGATCATTGAAGTATTGTTTACAAGTAAAGAACAATTATTATTTTTTTATAGATAATGATTACTTTCTTACCAAACATTTACCTGTTATACATGTCTTCTCACCAGTAAAAGTGTAAATTTATTTTGTTCTTTGTTCGGATATGCTTCTACGTGCAACACGATTTACTCGATATGTTTAACGCGCAACTCATATTTTTGGGAGATTTTTAGCTTTAAACAATACAACTATTCAACCTTTTCTTTTTTCATTGTCATGATAAGATGCGGTAGATGAGGTAAACATCTAACGATTTTAGGCTTGTGCCATTTTCCATTAACCGGTTCATTACATTTGACAAAGGAAATCTTTGTTAATTTTTTCTCGAAATCTCTTTTTTGTATCGGATGATGATTTCAAACATCACAATAAATCGTTACACTATTGTTGATCCTTCACGCAGTTCGGAAAATTTAAGTTTTAATTTTGGAAGAAATCCAAAAATTTCTTTATGTTTTAATTTGGCAGTTGATACGCTGAAAAAATTCCGATGTTAACTAAATTTTTATTAGGTTAATCCCTTCAAAAATTTATTCCTGAACTATAAAGTTGAAAGAACGATATGCATAATAGAAAGAAACACAAGCTTTAAACTTTCTTTGTTCTTTTTTTTTTTGGTTAATATGGTTAAACAGATGTTCCATTAGATAATAAACAAATATCAACTGATTCGTTCAAGGAATATTTCCAAAAAGAAAAAACAAAAAATATTTGTATTGCCAAGCATACTTTCAATTCCCACGATACCCCGAAAAATTTTGATCCGTATTATTTCGGAAGAAAGAAATCTTAATCGGTTCAAAACAAAATGAAAAAAGGCAATTTTCCATATAATCTATATCATTTGCTTAAGATGCAAAGTTTAAAGAGTCCATTTACACCACATGTGATGCGACGCTACACTACTTTAATCGATATGTAAAATTGGCTTCTGTCAAGTTTTTTTTTTTAAAGTTACCGTAGTAAAACCGCACTTGTAACTACCCTTTGATTGGACTGCTGCGTCAAGTGTGTTCAACCCTTATTTTATTTTTTGAATCCGAACTTTAAAAAAAAAAAAATAAATAAAATAAAATAAAATAAAATCATACATCTTTACGGCAGCTAAAAAATGTGATGAAAATGAGTGATCCCGAGTACAACCTCTGAGAGGTGCAAAACGAGTATGTAACAATTACCTAAAATTAAAATACTGGATGTTCATGGTACCACAAGGCATTTTATCAAATACTTTTAAGATTTTTGGAAGATACAATTTTCTTAACATGGACTCAAAAAATTATTAGATTTATTGATTTTCAACAATTTCAACCCATGCGACAAACATGTAAAACAAATATTGCCTCAATATGTCTGCCATGTGGTAAACATTGACTCACATTTCTTTGTTCTTCTGTGAGATTGTAAGATTGTAAGATTGTAAAAAAAAAAAAAAAAAAAAAAAAGAAATTTAACACTTCTTTGTTTCAATTTTTTTTTTAAAAAAAAAAAAAAAAAACAAAACACGTTTCACCGTCCTCTCTTTCATCAAAAGATAATCGTTAACTCACCCGTTTAATAAATTTCATTTATAACAGCTGCTCGCCAATGACCGAACCGATTGCAAAAGAATGTTCGTCAATAGTAAACAAAAATAAAATAAAATAAAATAAAATAAAAAAAAATTTCCAATTGGATGTTTAAAAAAATTTCAAATTTTTTTTTACTCTGTCGATCTCAATTAATGCACATTAATTACATATTTGCATTAAAAAGCAATCGTGTGTTATACCAGTAAAGCTGGGTTTTATAAATTTTGATTTACTATAAAAAAAAAAAAAAACTCTGGCGTGTGTGTGACTTGATTCTTATAAATAATTGTGAAAATTATTTTTTGACGATTTATTCCTCCATTTTTCTTTTAAAAAAAAAAAAAAGTGGCCGTGCACGAGATATCATTTCAACGGGGCTCTTCTCTTTACTTCCTCCTTTTATTGTCCATGACGGTTAAGCTCTTTTAACCTCCTTTAACCAAATATTTTTTTTTTGCATTTTATATTTTTTTTTTTTTTTTTTTTCTTGTTGCTCTCTCTTCTAGGCTCTTCAACACGGCCCTAAAAAAAAAGTCGATTTACTTTTTTTAACGTCTCAATCACGCTTTTTTTTTTTTTTTTAATTGAATCGAAAAGGATTTGATACGATATTGAAAATTATTTTCTTGTTTCATTCTTGATTATAATTTAACGACCCATTATTTATTTTTCACCGTTAAATCGAACGATTAGCAAAGATTACTGCGGCTTCTTTAAAAACAAACAATGATCACACCTTTTAAATTGGTGCTAAACGATAATTAATAAAAAAAAAATCATCAAAAAAAAAATTCTTGCCACATAAAAAAAATTTATCTCTTCCTATTTTTTTTCTTCGAAACAAAAGAAGTTGCACATTGAATGTCTTGCTAGCTTTTTTTATTAAAAAAAAAAAAAAAAAAAAAAAGATAAAAAAACAACCGCCAAAAAAGGTTATAGTGATTAGATTCTCCCAGAAAAAAAAAAATTCCTCCCTATTTCTTATTTATTATAAATACTTTTTTTTTGCAATTTTACCACCCTTTTTGTCATATACATTTTTTCTTTTTCTTTGTTAATATATTTTCATTTGTCAAATAGTTCAATTTTTTTTTCCTTCCTCCTTTTTGCATTATTTATATAGATAACAAAAGTATTATTTTATTACCCACAAAAAGAAAAAAAAAACTTCATTTATCCATTATATAGAAATATTTCAGTCCAGTAAAAAAAAAATACTAGCATATAGTTAAAAAACTTCAAAAACTACAAAAATATATATATTTATATTTTTTTATAAAAAAAGAAAGAAAATGAGTCTATTCATCTTGGACGATATGATTACTGATGAATCGGAAACTCATGAGAACAAACGTGTAAAAATCACAACGGCCTGTGATACCTGTCGTAGAAGAAAAGTCAAATGTGATGGAGCATCACCCTGCGCTAATTGTACACGAGGAGGTCTGGATCTTTTATTATTGTCACTTGTACTTTTATTTGTCGACAACGTGCAATTGTTTGACGCGTTACATGGCTAACGTTATAAACATAAACTAACCTTTTTTGTTAAAATTATCTTTTTTTAGCCTATACATGCACATTTAGTGATGCATCTACAAAGAGACCGCGAGGACCTCCAAAGGGTTTCGTGGCCTTGATCGAAGACAGACTTCACACCATAGAATCCCTTTTGGTGAATCTTGTTAACAAGGATAATATTATTGAAAACAATAAGGAAATAAAAAGAGAAAGAGATATCTCTATCAACGAGGAGTCCAACCAACGACAAAATTTTTCGACCTTTAAAGTGCGTCAATATTCCCCGACGAATGCTATCGCACCCGCTACACTATCATCGCCCCATTTATTCATTCCAACAACGCCTCCAGCAGATGCGAATCATGTTTCTGATCATTCCTCAAATTTAATCCCAGGATTTAGTGAAGATCTTGGTAGTGATGATGAGGACATTCTTCTTAATAATTTGGTCACTCCAAATCCTGCAAACAGTTTACATACTGGTTCATTTGCATTTCTAATACCAAACAATCAACAAAACGTTGTGGGTGGTTCTTACGTTGATCCTCCTTTACCATCTACAATTCCACAGTTCTCGGATCCACCTTCTAACATTTCAAAACAATTGTTGGAGAGATATTTTAACCATTTTCACCCTTATTTTCCTATTATCAATCGTGGACAATTTTTTAAAATGGTGTCTTGTCCTAATGTTGAGGAACGACCCTCCCCGTTACTGCTTAATGCCATTTATGCTGTTGGTGCGATGTTCCCTCCCACGCTCCAAGATTTTCATTCTTCGACATTTTATGATCGCGCAAAAAGTGAGTTACAGGAAATATGTTCCCCTTCACCTAACATTCTCTTTCTAACTTCTTTTTTTATAACTTGTTAGATTTGTTAGATAATTTTATCGACGTACCAAGATTGTCAACTGTTCAGGCTTTAGCATTGCTATGCATGGTTGACCAGGGTAAACCATCGTCTTATAGGCCACAAACCTATTCATCGATGGCCATCAGGATGGCACAGAGCATGGGATTAAATCGTAGGAACGGTGCTGTTTATCAGGGAAAAGGTCGTCATACTAAGAAATTAGTGTGGTGGGGATGTTTTATTTTGGACAGACTTAATAGTCTTGCTAACGGTGATCCGTTGGCTATAAATGACAAGATATGTGATATTGAGTTCCCTTTACCGGATGAAGTAGATGATCTAGATGATGATAATCTTACACAACCTCAAAGCCATTCATCACAAAAAAGTTCCGAACAACAAAATATAGCTCCAACATATAGTTCATCATACGCGCAGCAGACAAACATTTTCGTTAGTTTTGCCAGGTTGGCAAGAATTATTGGACAGATTGTTGAGCATTTGCAATCCACTTCATGCATTGGTATGCCGGCATCCTGGACTCATCATGTGATGGTCAATACTTTTGAAGTTTCCCTTTTAAATTGGCTCAGAGAATTACCGCCATTTTTGCAGTATGCCCCCTCTCCACATGACATGCCGCTACCTGGCCACATCGCTTCATTACACATGCATCATCAAACTTTATTCTTGATGCTTCATTACCCTTACATTGTATCACATCATTCTCGTTCACCTCACGCGCGCATGTCTAATACCTTCATCAAATCACTTAATGCTTGTAGTAAGGCTGCGAGTGTAATCACTCATATCGGTGGTAAGTAATATTCACTTTATTCCTAATTTGTAGAACGATGTTAAATATTCTTGTCATGATTATAATATTGATTTAATCTTTTTTTACATATATATATTTATATAGTCGAAGCTCTAAATAATGTTTACGTGTGCATAACTTTCCCGACAATGTTTTATAGTTTAACAAAGGCTGCAAAGGTTCATGCTATTAACCTTGTCTCACCACATCGCGGTTTTGCAATAAATGCATACAGAAATGTTGTAAAAACAATTAAAATCTGTCGATTCTATGAACAGAACAATATCATGACCGAATTAGCGAGTCAAACGATTGCAAGCTTGGAAAGCGTTTTGATGTCGCATCAAGATAAATTCTCTAATCAAGAAACGATTGAAATTTCGAGCGTGTCACCTGCCATTGCTGTTTCGGGTTCAATGACATCTCCAACACACATTAAAATATCACCTACCATGGCGAATCAAATGTTTCATTCGGGATCATCATTATCAAAACAAATGCAACCGATAACTTCTAATGATCTAAAGAGGGACGCTTCCTCAACTAATATTCAACAGCATACGTCGAACTTTACTTTTGTTCAAAATCAGGGTGGAGCAGGGATGCAACAGTATATGCCGGTGAACCAAATCTTTGATTCGTTCGCAATGCAAATGCAACCGTCTTCAATGATGATGACACCATGCGGAACCGAGATGACATCACATGAACCATATTGGGATCTTGGAATGGACCTCACAGGGCAACAAAACATGGTCGACGGATTCAATAATCATTCATACAACAATGTAACGCCCACAATTCCCATTCCTGCAGCTTCCTCAACCACATCCACCCCAGCCTTATCTACTACAACTGTGGCAACTGCCGCCGATTATTTCTCTAATCATCAACAGCAGCAACAACGATCACCACAGCAACAGACCTCGCTCCAAGTTTCTTCGCCAATTCCAGTGTATGCTGCAGCTACGACCAATGAAACTCAACCAAGATCTAACCAAATGTCTCTAAATTCCATCGAACAAGATAATGATTCAGAATCAAATCTGATGAATGAAAATCTGAGCAATGTCGAATTACAAAATATTCATCCCACACAAAGGTATGTGTTTACGGGTATAGGTGACAATAATTCCTCAATCGCAAATGCAAACGGTAGTGGTAGGTTTGTTATTGAGGAAGAAAATATCTATGGTCATTTATCTACCTCAAATGAGACTCATCAGAGAATTTTCAACAAGATCCCTGGACGAATGATAAAGAAAGAAGATGAAGAAGAAGCCGGTCAAGTCATCGCTACTGGTAGCGATTCACCAAATAAAGATGCTATAAGTGTTTTGTCCCGGCGTTTGAGTGGTCATTGTTGCGTTACACCTGCCTTTAACGATTTGAAATTCGGCGGCAACGTTGGATCCAATAGGAATGGTAATGATTATTCCTCGTTCGGATTTGAAAATAATCTTTGTCATATCGACGGTAACGTTTATAACAATTCAAGAGAAATGAAAGAAGTTAATGTCGGTTTTCATATTGGACTTTACTAAATGGTCTCAAGATCTTCTCACAACTTTTCAAAAAGTCCTCAAACGTCTTAATAATCAAGTTTATTATTATTCATCCTAATTATTCTTATCACTTTTGCCCCTACCCCTTTCTCCCTTTTTTTTCTTTTTGTATTTTACTTTATGGTATAGATATCTTGGCAATTTTATATATTTATTTATCTTTTCTATTTATATATTGATATAACATGGGATAGAATGTTGTGGTTTTTTATCTGGAAGGACTCGATGAGAATTGGATGAATGAGACGTATATGGACACTGGTGTCACAAATATTGCATTATCTTTTTTTAAGGACTCTATATATATATATGGCTACGAAAAAAAAATTATTTTTGGTCATTCCTCATTTTATATGCATACATGATATATTATTTATTCCAGCATTCAATTCCTTTTCACGAAAAATTATTTGTTATATTTAGTTCATTTTCTTTTGCTGGTTCAAAAAAGAAAAGGAAAAAAAAAAATTTGAAACGAGAAAACTGTACATTCAACAATAAATAATTTTTTAAAAGATGAAGAAAATTATTATTATTATTATTTTTTTAGGTACTAAAATAAAATAAAATTGTTTTTAATTGTTTTTTAGATCGTAATTATAAATAACATTTAAATTCACGTGAGTGATTTCACAAATTTTTCTTTTTCTTTTTTTTTTTTTTTACAAAGGAATTGGCAATTTATTATGAATCTTGGTTATCTTGCATAATCTTCGAATACACACACCTTTCCTTGATAATCAGAAGCGTATGATGTTTGATCGTGCATATTAAAATATTGATACTGAATAATCACTTTCTTGCTGGCTGGTGATAAAGTCGTCGCTTTTGGAATTTGTCCTTTCTTTTGGGCGGCGGTTCAAAAAAAAAAAAAAATTAATCAAAATAAAAAGAAATTTTTGCGCAGTAACGGGTTGCGATCCGCAGCAAATGAAAATGATGTTGCTGTACGGACACATGTTTCATACATCACAAGTTTCCATATAAAATTCCAAAAATATTTTTTTTAATGTACCCAACCAAAAATGACAATTTTGATTGAACAAATATATATATATATATTTATTTATTTATTAGGTTCAATGAGAAGGAAGAGGGGGAAATGTTTCATTATAGAATATAGAAACAAAATGAAAAAGTTTTTTTTCTTTTTTTTTCCTTCTTTCTTCCTATAAAAAAAAAAAGAGTTGCGTTTTTAGATGAAATCTGATATATCATATGGATTCGATTGAAAATGAACTGAACCTTGCGTTAAAAAAAAAAAAAAAAATCTACCATAGATGCAAACTTTTTTAGCCACATACGCGCATCACACCACCGTTTAACGGTTAGCCCCGGTAATAAAGTAAGAACAAAGCACCCTTACAGGCGGGCACTCTCTTAACGGACCCTTTCATTTTTTTAGCATGCGGATTCTTATGAAGATATCTTTGACAATTAATTTCTCAATCTTCCAATTTATTTATCAAAATAACAGAAACATCCAACAAATCCCCTTTTTTTATGAGCAATCTGAATCAAAATTGTCACTCATCAATTGCGGTTAATATAATATAATTCTTTTGATGAATCCTCATAATGCATATATTACTGCGCATTACAAAATGTTACATGATTAAAATCAATAAGAGGAATTCGCCGACGATAATCGATATATCACGATTTCAATCAATCATTTTTCCAACGTCATTCTCATCTCTTCATCATCAAAACACGAAGCAAAGATGATCAATCCTGGAGGTACAACTTTCAATCCTTTGCTTGATAATCTTATTCGACTATGAAACTGTTGTATGGCACAATGATCTTTAAAATGAACAATTGCTTGAATGTACAATTATAAAAGCATCAGCTCGAATTCAGATGAGTGAATTTGATAAAATGGCAGAAAGGGAGATTTGGGGAAATGAGTGAGTTTTTTCTAAGAACCGTGATAATGAATTTTTTATAGTTTAAGTCACATTATTACGATAACACCTTTCCCTAAATCGATTCAATCGATTCATATAGTATTTAAGTAGAACATCGTTTGTAAACAACATTAATTGAGCGGCAAAAATCGTAAAAAAAGAGAGTATAATGAAAATTAAAAGTATTTTTTTTTTTTTTTTTTCTGTTTATTGGTGACCGTACCCAAAACATCAATAAAAAAAAATGTACAAGTAAATTTTTTTTTTCTCACGTTTTATATATAAATGTAACATATTCCCATAATTGTTTCCTTATGTGCAAGGTTGGTCTACAATTAGTTAATCACCGTCCAAATTAGAACATCGATTAGTCAACAACCACAATAAAGTTCGTTTTTGAATCTTCTTTTTTTCACAATGATGCCGTTTCAAGCCTTATGGCTTGTTGCAGGGCTTTGAAAATCTTTTCCCATTAGAAAACAAATAAATAATTTTTTTTTATTTTACGCAAGCCTGTTACCAGGATTACCTTTTTTTTTGCAGGGAAAATATGGGACTTTCCATTTTACGACTTATTCAAAAAGGGACGAGGTTTCAAGAAGAAGAAAAGAAAAAAAATGAAATCAGAGAAATGAATTCGACGCGACGACGCGTACAAAAAGGTAATGTTTCAATGAAATTCCTAATCGCTTGAAAATGTATCATGTCAAAGAATCACATCATTTGGGTAGTAGATTAATAGGGGAATTACAAGTTCAAAAAAGGGATTATGAATGAAAACCTAAAGTTCAAGTATCCGGTTCCCTTTCTAAACAAGGCTTAGGTAATAAATAATCAAAAATAAAAGAAAAGAAAAAATACATATCATGTAATAAAGTTTAGATTATCGTTCTGGCAAAAAAAAAAAAAAAATTCAATCTCTTTGATGAGCTAAGCGATATATGGGTTCTTTCATTAAATGAATAGACAATGAAAAAATATTTGTCATATGCACCCTTTGCGCATCGCATCAATCGTTTAATTTTTTTTAAGAGTCGGCTGTGACTTTTAAGAGTTTTCATTCTTTATCTTATCTTTATTTTTTTTTTGTATTTAAACTGAGAAGAGTTTAAAAAGAACATGTAGTAAGAATATATCGATCGATAAATAAAAAAAAAAAAAATTTAAATAAAATAAAATTGGGGACCTCATTGAGCATTCATCATAAGCTTGTACCTGAATGGAAAAGTTTGTGATGGTTCAACAAATTGTGTTTTGGCTTTTTTTATCATCATGAACGTTATCAATTTTCTCGATAAAGTTACAATCACTTAACCGAATCCTTTCCAAAAAAAATTTAATTGAGAGTAATCATTTCCAAAACTTCGTTTAATATGTCCAGAAAAGGGTTAACCTCCGTTCAACGATGGGTTAACAAATGCAATGACCAAAAAAGAAAGATAACATGATAAAATTGTTTTCTTCTTGTGACTAGAACTGTAAAAAAAATTGGGATCACAAAATAATAATTGTAATTGTAATTATTACAATGATAATAATAATAATAATAATAATAAATAACAAATAACAAATAATAAATAAAAAAAAAAAAAAAAAAGGAAAACAGAATGTGATGAAATTTTTTCTCCCTTTAATTTTTAATTAAAAAAAGAAAAAATTGTCGCAATTCATTAAAAATAACCCTTGACATATTGTATACATGTGGGGGATTAATGTGATTTTCAAAACCAATCGATTTTTATTTTTCATCGGATCCAATTGAAACCATTGAAAAATTTTTAAAGCTTATTGAATTTTACATTTTTGGAGGTCAAATCACTTCAATTTGATAGAAATAAATCGGGGAAACAAGTTACCCGAGATAAAAATGCGCTAGATCATATTGGAGAAGAATGCGTAATGACATGCATTTAATTTTATCTTTGTCCACTCAAATGTTCATTATTTCCAATTATAAAAAATAAACAGGTGATGGTTTGGAATTCCATAAAGAATGTCACGAGACAGTTCCATCTGATAAAATCAGTTTGGGAGCGCTAAGCCAATCTAAAATGAGAGGAAATGTCATTTAAATGCAAAATGTATCACATTATGGTAAAAAAAAAAACTTGATTTTATCCGGATATGAATAATGAGTTAAAAAAAAAAAAAAAAAAACAAAACGGGTATGAACCCTTGTCAAACAACATTTTTTTTTTTCGTACAAGGGATTTTTTTTTCGATATTTAAAAACATGAACATATGAAACCAAATTTTTTTTTTATCTTTTTTAAAAATAAATACTATATTTTAATAATTTTTTTTTTTTTTTCACGATACAAATTTTAGAGCACAACATTTTTTTACATGACTAGCATTTTATATATTATTATTACATTGAAAAAAAAAATAAAATAAACTTTTAGGTACGTGTAATACCGGTAATTTGGGAAAACAAAAAAAAAAAGAATGATTCTATCATCAACGTACAGCGTTCGTTTGAAAATGAAACATTCTTTCTTATTGTTTATAGATTTTATTAATATTTGTCCAAGCCTCAAAAATAAAAATAAAATAGTATGTGTTTCTTTATTTGATACATGTTTTTGTCTTTTTTTTTTGATTTTTTTTAATTTTTTTTTTAATAAAAAAACATCCTTCTTCTTCGATATCAGCTTTTTTTAATATTGACAAATAAATAAATAATAAAATCTTGAAAAATAAAATTTATAAGATTAATAATAACATCAAGGACATTTTCTACAAAAAATTTTTCTTCTCTTTTCTCTTCTTCTTTTCCTCTCATCCTTCTCTTCTAGATATTGCTTTTCTCGAAAAAAAAAAAAAAAAAAAGAAAAGATTAAAAATGAGCAATAAAGCTAGCATAGCAAATTTACTAAATGATAACGCCACGTCATATGTTCGAAAAAACACTTTTATACCATACTCATATAACAATAAAATGAACATAATTCCTTCCCGATTTACAACTACAAATTTTGGTGGTATATCATCATCACAACCACACCAACCTTTATCCACCACTACCACATCTGATGCTGCTTTTACAGATTTCATGGAATGTCCCAATTTGCCTCAATCTGATACAACAATTATTAATGGAGTACAAATTGTTACAAATGATGATCCGTCGTCGTTAAGTTCAGTACGTAATATATTATGTATTTAAATGATTAGTTGACGAACGATTCGACTACATAATTATTATTATTATTTTTTTTTTTATTTTATTTTTTTTTTGTCCTCTTTCATCTCTCATCTCTCATCTTTTTTCTTTTTCGAAAAAAAAAAGGGTATTTTAAGAATATCTTTTTGAGGAACAAAAAAAAACTCCCCTCCCTCCTCACTAATTTATTTATTAATAAATTTATTCGATTTTTTTCTCGTTTTTTATTTATTTATATTTCCTCTTTTTTTTTTTTTTTTTTTGTATTTTTTTTCTTTTTTGAATGCTTTCAGCCTCCACGTACTCAACCCTCACAAGAAGAATTCACCGAAAATAATTGGTTACCTCCTTTACATCCACGTTATTCTTACGACTCCCCTCCAAAAATGCCCATATATAAAAAATCTAAAAAGAAGGGTCAAGCAAATGACAACGATACCGATGATGCAAACTCGTCAACTATTCGTTCTAAACGCAATTACACAAAAAAACCTCTTGATAGACTAAAAAGACCAAGGAATGGTTACATGATTTACATGAATGAGGTTTATGAGGATGTTAAACGTAAATATCCAAACTTAAAATTTGGCGAATTGAGCACGCAAATCGGTATTCAATGGAAAAACATGACCAAAACCGAACAGATGGTAATTACAAAGTGTAAATCATTTTTTTTCTTTTATTTGCTAATCTCCTTTAAAATTTTACGTAGCCATATCATCAAAGACACGAAGAAGAAAAAAATGCTTATGAAAGTGCGAAATTGGCCATGTCAAGGTCAAATTTACAGATCGTTGAGGAAACGATCGGTATCGAACGACAAGTTAAGGCTGCTGAATTAAAAGCTTTCGAATTAATAGCCGCTAAAAATAAAAAAGAAAACAAAGTTGAAACCAAAGTTGTTGAAGAGACGCGGCAACTTTCTCAAAGTGAAACTCCATCTTCCCGGCCACCACCGAATTATGGTGACGTGGCCCCTTGCATTCCAAAGTCCGGAAATAGTCTTTCGGTTGGTTCAAACGAGATCAACCAGAAAGTTATTACCTCACATTACCCAAAGGGTAATAACGCGTTTCATAATGAAAAACCTCCCACTGGAAATGGACCACGTAAAAGCGATGCCGCTCCTTCCACGGTTTTACGCAAGTTGAAACCAAAACCAGACATTCCGATTACTCCAATTTCACCGGATTTCAGCAATCGAGCACTACAGCTTGCAATGCCCAAAACCCCCTCTTTAACCACTCTCGCACAAGAAAACGCACGTTCAATAAGGCGGAATTTTCTTTCGCCCGCACGTGAGGCTCAAAGGGTAAATTATTTTAAGCAACATTTCCCAGATTTAAATGTCGAAGATGAACGTAAGAATGAACGAATGGAATGCGAGGGTGTGTCCACCCCACAATCTGTTGGAGGAAGTGTGGTTGAGGATGTTGAACAAAGTGAAATGAAAAATCTTGAGAGTGATGACGACGAAGAGAAAATCGATCAATTACTACCAAGTGATCAATCTGATACGGAAATGGAAGGTATCGAAATTAGCAATGCATCTCCATCTTCCACACGCAAATCACCCGACACGTCAACGATTTGGTATTTGCCAATTAATGGAACTATAGTTTCCTCCGGGCTAACCCCATTTAGAAAGAGAAAAGTTATCAGAACGGAGGATTCTGAAGAGGAGGTTGAACCAAAGCGTTTCAAAGAGAATAGAATAAGTCAAATTGACGAAATGATTTAGAGTTAACAAATACAAACAAAGTTTTCTTTTTTTTTTAGCATTTATAGTTTTTTTTCCATCTCAAAAAAAAAACCCCCCAACCTTTAAAAGCAGCAAAATTTTACACACAAAAGTAAAATTATTAACTTATAATATATAGAATAACTGAAAAATTACCTTTTCTTTTTCACACTTTTATTTTCTAAAATAATAACAAAAAAATTAGTGTATATAGATATTTGAGATGTGGCAACCAAAATTTTAGTGTAGCATTATTTTCATTTTTTATGATTTTAGAAAAATAAATTATTTTTTGTATCAAAATGCATTTAAATTAAATAGAACTGACTAGTTAGTTGGTAATTCAATCCTTAAATTCTGGCAAATCAAATATGTATGATGGATGGATGGCTCATAGATCGCAGAGATCTCAGCTGGCTATGAATTTTATTTCTCTTAAGCCGGCCATGCCGCCTGAAAGATCGATTATGCCGACTAGTATCACAATGCAGGGGAAAGGTCAGAAAACATTTAAATTATAATTGTTTCACCTAAAATTAAAATCCATTCGAATCAATCTTCTTTGAACATATATTTTCTCTTTTTGATAAGATAATGAATTTCCTTTTTAAATTTCACTTTTTATATATATATATATTTGCATTGGATAGATTCAAAGTGATTGATTACATATTAGTGAGGAGAAATATGCAGGTGGTTATTAAAGAGTGTAAACCAGCTGTTATTCGATAAAAAATGATTTTATTTTATTTTTAAGAAAGTTTTTGTAATGTAATTAAACATTCCATTAAGTGCAGGAGAAGTTTTCATCAATTTCGCAAACATATTTTTAGAAACTTTCATAAGGAAAGTGTTTGTAAATACTAAGAATCAATAAAGACATTGATTAATCCCGGAAAACGTTGTGATAATACTATTTTTTATCCTTTGTCTAGTGCAACATTGTTTGTATCGCAAAATATATATCTAATTAATCAAATCGACATGTCTTAAATTGATTATTCCCTTTTTTATCAAAACAAAGTATACATTTTATAAATAACTACCCTCCATTTACCTTCAATTTACTTTCAGGTCGAATAATCTTGTATACAAATGTCCTTTCTAAATATAGAGCATAAGCAGATTTTTTAAAATTTTTTTTTTTTTTTTTTTTGTTTCAAATGTCTTAAATCTCCACATATTTTGTCTTTAAGTTACGAATCTGTGTAATTTGGAAGAGTATTAAATGGATCCTCGTGTTACACAGTTTGATCCGCAAATTGTATTACAAATCAATTTGATTTGTTATGGCAATTTTTCTATCTCCGCCAATTAACGATAAATTATAAATGAAATTAACACTTGCAGATTATGACAATCTTTATTATTCTTTAAGTATACAGTCTCCAATTCATTTTAAGAAATATATGATTGAAAAGAGGTTCGCATGCATATTATGTATGACTATAGTTCCAAATATTTTGAAATTCAAGAACCAAACCGACTTGAGAGTACCTAACCATGTTGTTGAGTTAGGAATGTCAATATTGACACGTACCATACCGACCATATTCCGAATGAGATCAGGAATTCAATGTCCCGTTCACCAAATTTATTTAATCATTTATTTGAGGCATCGATTGTCCAAATATTGACCGTATCTAACCTGTTTAAGTTCGGATAAGGGATCAAATGTCCAGTTTTTGAAATCAACCTGGAATGTCCAAAGTCGAAATCCCAAACGCAGACTTGTTTTAACAGGGTCATACGTATGATATCTTTTTCCTTCAAGTCAACTGAGGTTACCCATTATTTTAAATAAACACATAAATTTTGTAAATCCGGTGATTAATCTTTCAAAATTATTATCCATAGAAAGGTCTTTATAATAAAATTAACATTGTGATGATTTCAGAAAGTAAATTTCAGATTTTTACAAGATTGGTCCTTTCATTCACCCTTATTTAGTAGCATTGTGGGTTTAATAAGGTTTAATAATATTCACATTAATCGATTAAAACTTTCAGAAAGATATTAGTTTGAATAAAAAAGATAGGTAAAATTTTAAAGAGATATATATACTAAAGAGATGCTAGATTAAAATATTTAAATTAAAGTATAATTATTGATTAAAATTCTTTTAAATTGTTTATTGTTAATCATTAATGCTTATCAAAATCAAATAATTTAAAGCAAATTTACCGCGTTGCGATTAGTGTGGTTGATCAAATTCCGCAGATCAATACGATTCGATCGTACTGTACCGGATATTATAGATCCAGAACGGTTCGATCTTATATAATTAAATGATTTAAGAAATTTTTATTCTTTTAAATTATGTTTAGTTATTTATCATTATAATTACGAAATAAAACATACGAAAATAAGATAATTCTTTTTTTTCTAAAGCAACATTTTTTTTTTAATGATATCATCAAATTTGTAATTTCAATCGAATTATTTTTAATAATTTTTTTTGGAGAGAGCTAGTATATCAAAAAATCTTTTAACTCAACAAAGCAACGTTTTTGTGCGCAGTTTTAACTTGTTGCTAATTTTCCTGTTTGTTTTTCTATTATACATATCTAATTTATTTAATTACTTGCTTGTGATTTATCTTTATTCTAATTTCAACTGAATACATATAATTCAAAGCAATTTTAAATATATCTAAGTTTACTTTTAAATCAGCAAGTACTGCATAAGTTCGATATTATGTGCACTTTCATTGAACGTTTTAATTTATTAAAGATCCATATTGTATAATCTCAAAAGATTGCTAACAAACCCAAGATATATTTTTAAATCTTCAAATGAACTTTTCAATTGATATTTTTAAAGCAAGAATAAATGAAAAAAAATTGACAAACTTCCTGCAACTTTAAATGTCAATTTTAAATAATTTTATTTAATTCATCTTGTGCTTCATAAGTCAAAAGATTTCCATTTCATTAACATTTTTTATTCCTAAAAATATAATAGAAATTATAATTAATAAATGACAAAAAATAACGGAATTCAAATAGTTTTGAATGCTAATTTTCAATTGAGAGTCGCGACTCGGTCAGCGGCTGAGTCGACTGAAAATAGTCTAATGACTGACGGAAGTCGACGCCGCAGCTAGTTTATCCATTGTGCGAGTGGAGCAGTAAATATGGCACAGTAATATTTAATTGCATAATCCATTTATAATTCCTAATTAATATATGTATACATTTAATAATTTTAATAATTATTTAACAAATAGAAGTAATATAATCCCTAAATAAAAAAATTTATTACATGTATTTTTTTAAAATGAATATTAATTAAAATATAATTTTATCTGTAAAAAATTTATTTTTTGTAGAATCAAGCGTTTCTTTATATTCAATGATTTATTATTAAGTTGTCACAAAGTATCGGATAGTTGGTTACAGGAGGTGTATGAATTTCTTTTTGAAAAATATCATAGCAAAATAGATAAATGAGCAAAATTTCCAAACTTATTGGTGTAAATGAATTTGTACATCAACATTTTTTTTTAAGGTTTTACAATAATTCCAAACCTATTAAAATTTATGAATAAAATTAAAAATTTTGATTCATAAGATAAACATATCAATCAAAAATAAAGTGGGTAAATGTTATCTAATGAAAAAGAAGGATTTTAATTTGTAAATTATTTATGTGTTTGAACTATCCCACTTTATTTATTTGAAGTTTAAGTAGTCTAGAATCATTTGAACAACTTAACCACCCGAAGATGCAAAATTTACTGTTATGATTATAAAGTTTTTGTAAGTATACACACTCAAATATTTTAATTGAGAAATTAATGTTTTGATCCGGCTAATCGAACATAACAGGATTCTACATCTACAAAGAGTTATTCAGTTGTTGAATAAAAGGCGCTTAATTCTCTCATAATTGAAATTTGGACCTTATTTATGCCCTGTGAAATAAAATTTAAGAACATAAGCAATTTGAAATAAAAATGTTTTGCCCTAAATGCCAAAAGATTTTTAATTAAATTTGGAAGAGTATATAGAATTAGAACAGGTTGTTGTAATATCCGTGAAATAATAAAAGTTCACATCGCTTTTACAATAAATCGTAAATCTTCCATTTTATGACTATGTGCAGTATGTTCATTTTGATGTCCCAGAGATTTGCTGTCCCAGCTATGTGTCCCAGCTGTGTCCCAACACTATGTCCATCTATATCCCATCAATGTCCCATGACAACAGATTATATCTATTTATTTATCTGAAAAGACTTTATTACCTGTTATCTGAATTCCAATAGTTGAGATCCTTTATCTTACAAATATATAAATGATGTAGTATACAGTCCTTCAATGCGATATTTAGTAATTTCAATGGGTCTATAAGTATTTCCATACTTGAATTAATAATAAATCTACAAGATAATTACTCGAAACAGCATACGTTATTAAATTTAAGAAAATTTGCATAAAAAAGCCGAAGTCTACCTCTAACCTTGCATTCTATAAGAGATGTTCCAAAGTTAAAAAGCAAAGACGGGATGAACAAAATTTGTTAGACTAACAATCACTTTGATCAAGAAAAATTTTTCGATCGTCCAAAATAAATAGCCCCCCCCCCCCCCCATGATGGCGGTTTCTAATGTAAGTCCAATTTATTAATTACAATAAATGCTAACGTCTAAAAAGATATTTTTATTATTATTATTTATTTTTTTTGCAATAATAAGAGATGTGCTAACTTCAGGTTATAGATCGTCGAGATCTAGCAAATAGCAGCTTAATAAAGAAAAGGATCGCATTACGATTTTTATATAAAACAGATTCTCAAATTTAGCGAATAGTAAAATAAGTGGATTTGATATATCATAAAAGCAAGTTAACGCTCATAGACCTACACCTATAATAAAATAATGGTGGGCAAGTTAGGTTTAAAACAAAGATCCAAACAAAATCGAATTCTATCAAAAAAAATTCATTCTTTCAAATGTTATTGATGAAGTATCGTGTCTAAAATAATATATCTTTTGCT